ATCAGCTGCACAAGTACTGCGCAATCCCTCTTTTTGTGCATACTTTCAGTGGCGTGAATAAACGTCTAACTGCCACTAAACTAAAGGGTTTGTTCGGTTTAATCTTGTCCATAAAATGCTTTTATCCGACTTACTGAACAGCTGTAGTTGACACATTAGCTAACTAAAACTGTAAAATGTGACTCTTGCCGTGGCCGAAGCGCCAGCTGCGATCAGATGGCTCTGCTGGCACCAACAGCGAGGGCACCCTGCTTGCCCTCAGGGTATCTGTCGCAGGGCTCTCCTCCTGACCTGGCACCGATAGAAACACACCACAAATTCTCCTTATAGCCTGCTCCAACCGGCCGCCTTCCATTACAGAGACGCCCCACGAGTCAGACAGCTCACACGTTTCTATCCATTCCCAGTAGGAGGCAAATCATCATAGCATATCGATAAAGTCTTACAGACAGAGAGTTTATAAATTATTTTTCTACATACCGCTACGCAGAAAGTGCTCGTGTTTGAAAGGCATTTGAAAATACACACATTTACTGTGAATGGGAAAAAAATGAAACTCTATGAAACGGAACAGTTTCTGAAAGGCCCATTATTTAGAGTTAACTGGGGAAAAACCAACCCTCTAACAACCCTTACTGTGCGTGTTGGGGGTTTTCTGAACTGTCAGTGAGTGCCGAGTCTGAACTTTCTGTACGAAACATTGCCAGAAGGGAGTGATGTTCCCCTTGCACGGTTACTAAAACATATAAAACATTATGTTCGTTCTGCTCTCACTCTGCAACAGCTGCCCCGGGTAAGTTCATAGCGAGCAAACTCCAGGCTGATGCAATTCCTCACTCATTCAAAATGAATCCTGACAAAACACTCCCCATCCTGCAGGAACCACAACGTCCCTTCCAAAAAATCCCTCTCCCACACAGAGCTGCCAAGCACACAAGACACCAACAGCCTCGGCAGCCAGGAGTCGAGGACAGGAGCCCCGAGCCACCCGGGGAGAGGTTTTGCATGAAGCAAGTTTGTTCCACTTGCCGGCTCAGCCCTCTGTGCTGGGGGAATTGGTTCAGGCTGTAAAACTGTGACCCCCCCCAGACCACCACCTCTGCCAGGGCTCTGAGCGCCCGCGGGGACCCTGAGCAGGAGCCGCAGGGCTGCCGTTACGGCATGGGATGCTGAGAAACAGCCACGTGGTCGCTATTGCTTACACTTTTTTCTGCTATACTTACTGGTATGGAAAAGCCACGGTGATATTTAGCTAGGGGAAACATCTCCGAAGGGAAAAGCAGCCCCTTTTGGCCATTGCTTTCGTCAGTCTCCGGCTTACAGCCAGCCTCGCAGCAACCAGCCTCCCTGTGCGGGAAACGCAGGGAGCGTGCTTTGACGATGGAGTTGAGCTCCGCGCTGCTAACAAAACGTTCTTACCACTCCAGGCTTTCCACGGCTGCTCTCTCGGGCACGAGGAGACCAAACTGCGAAGCGGGGCCGTGCTGGCTGAGCAAGGACCCTTCCCAGGGCTTTGTGACCGCACGGCCACGATGGTGTGCTTGCTATACCTAGCACAACTAAAGCTCCAGACAGGAGGAAAGGCACAGGGTGTTAAACAGGAAAAAAAAAAGAAATGGCCATGTGTCTGTTGTTTTGTTAGCTCTTCAGCTGCCGAGGGGAGAGCGGCTGCTGACCCATGCTCCCTCCTCCGGCACCCTGCTCTCCCCAGCACAGCCTGCCCTGCCACATACCTGCAGGGCAACCGCTAACCTGCACAATTCCCCAGCCCTTCTTTTTAATAATAACCCCCTCCTGCCTGCGTGGGATCCTAGGATTTGATTATTGTTATGAACAGAGGCCCGACACTCCCAACAACCGCAGGAACGGATGACATTCCCATGGTAACGCAATAAAAGCCTAACGGGTATGGCCATCAGGATGACTGTAGGCAAGAAAAACAGACGACTGCTTCACCCTCTACCAGGCCACCGAAAGGAACAAACTTCCTCGAAAATACCACAAAACCATAAGTCAGCTGTGGGGAAAAAAAAGGCCTGTGATTGATGGGTCATCCCGCTCTGCCCGAAGCTGGGAAGCAGGATAATAGTTTTTTCCACGACTTGCAGGTGGTCAGCGCTTTCTTTAACCAGGAGTCAACCTCGGGTACCTTCCTCCTGAAAAACGTCGTTCCTGAAGCGAGTTAACAGACAGCCCCCAGCCCAGGAGATGTAGGCACAAAGCTGGTGTCCTAGCCCCTAAACCTGTAGCCCCGCCAGAGCTCATCTGAGGACAGGCTTTGCATTTTTTCCCTATATATATTCCCTTTGCTGTAAGAGCGAAGAAAATGGTTCTAAGATTGCATTTAACCCCATTAAGAGATCCATAGCATTTATTTTAGAGATCATTAATAGTCACCAAGTCCTAACCGAGTTAGGATAATCTGGAATACCCAGGCCAACATAACAAGAAATCCTCCCCAGTTTTATACTCTGAAAACAATTCTCACATGAAGACCCTCAGTTAACATACTTCATTTTTCTTCATTTTTTAAAAGAAATTCATATTTTTAGAATCTCGTTACCCTGAAGTCCTTTAAACCACTTTGACAGCTATGAGATATTTGCCCCTGCCTCAAGTTGGATCGCGCCCATGCATCTTGCTCGGCTCTAATGAGCTAGGTATTATTTTTGCTTCATTTTCATTCTGAAGTAGTTTTGTTCCTCAGCTATTTCTGTAACCATACAATCCCCTGCCCCCAGCATTTACATGTCTTAGCTCAGCTCTAATTTCTCATTAGAACAGAATTTAATAAAGGTAACTTTTAACGGGAGTTGTGTACGAGCCCTAAAGGATGAATAAGGTTCTGCATGTAGGTCAGGTATTCCTACCAAAACCTCCACCAGATGATGGAGGTTGCTCCTTGTCCATGCAGCGTCCCTTCGTCCTGCAGGTGCCCACGACAGATTTATCTGTGGTTTCTGACCCATGTGAGAGGTATAAAGGAGACTGGAGTCAAAATCTCTTTAGATTTGAAATATATTGGCTTAGGAAGGCTCAGAAAGAACGGTTATATTTATTAGCAATTAGGGTTTCTACAGGATATATGGTCCATATACATATTTACAATGCATCTGTCTGTCTCAGAGCCTTACACTCCTCCTAACCTCGCCCCAGGTACCTCAGAGGAACTGAGGATTTGGAGACGTGACAGTTGTCGAGGATTTTCCTCCTCTTTCAGCAAAAAGAGAGGGGTCTTCCCACCACGTATGGGAAGAATGGGAAAACACGCCAAACACCCATGGTGTAAAGAGAATCTTCAACCTTGATCATATGTAATCTTATTAAAACGCTAGCACCTCTATCTCCTAAGTCAAATTTAGAAAGAGAAGTTTGGGATAAATACGATGGACAACCTTACCTCTGAAAGAAAAACGGGCATTTGCTGTAAGGTCCTGCATCTTCTCATCTTTTTTTTAGCAGATGTGGCACTAGGAAAAGCCACCTTCACCAAGCATTACCCAGTAGGTATATGGTCAAAGGACCTTCCTGGGGAGAGATGCCAGCACAAACTTAAGGTCCTACTGTGGGATCTCCGGGGATTTTAACTGCAATGGGTGAAGGCAAGAACAGCCCTCTGCTCTGGGCTACTCAGAAGCTGAATGAAGGGACCTGAGTCTTTAAGTTGAGAGAGCCGTCAGAATTAAGGGGAAGAAGAGGAGAAAGATTTTCCAAAGATAATGCAAACCAAAAAGTAGAGAAGCAAGGCTACCATCAGAAAGGTGCAAGGAAAAGGAGGAGATGGCCACAAGTTCTGATGAACTTCCAGGTCAAATCAGCGAAGGGGAAACCAGAGACTGTACAGGAGCATCCCCCCCGTTCCCACCACGCATGGTGTACAGGAGCAGGTGGCAGCAGTGCCAGTGCTGCCGGGACCTCCCGGCCGTGCCAGGCCGGCACCCCGCTGCAGGCAGCCCCATCTCGCCTAGTGTCGCATGCACCCCGACCTGCAGCCGTACGCTACAGCCTCCCGGGGTGTAAGCCCCCTAATTATCGGCTTACCTCGTGGAACCCAACTAAACCTGAATGAATCAGCTCTGCTAATTTGAATCCGAGGCACTAGAATATGCAAAGTTTACTGTTATTTATACAGAGAGCAGGTACAGTCATCAGCGGTACAATGAGCTCAATGATTGCCATTTACCTTTTCACTCCCTTTCAAATATACCCAAGACAGAAATGAAACACCCCACGCCCCCACCATATGTATTTCCACTAAAGAAAAAAACCTCAGCTTGCATGAATATTCTGCACGTTTATTTTTCATGCACATATTTTAGAAATAGATGAATTCTGCCACAAGTCAGGTAGATTCTTACCCCTTTCATTTTAAAAGAGATTTTTTTCCCCCAACGTCAAAAAATAAATTAAAATTCATGATCAAATTTGCTAATGTTAGTATCTGGAACTTTAAATGCATTTCTCTGCACTCTAAAACATATTCAATATATTCACTCAGATACTTCACTGAACCTATGGATATGTACCACTATGTTCTCAAAATTTGCAGCTGTTACTCGCAAAAACGGATTTCTGAGTAATTCTAAAACTCTTAAGCCCAAAATCTCAAACATTTTGGAACTTCCATTAACACGTTTGCTAACCGCTGCGATTGGTTTTTATAGTCAACCAAGACGTCTACGTTTGAGCTGCATTAGCTGAGGACTACCGAGGGCATCCCGTTTGTGCCAGGACTAAACCAGAGGGTACTCAGGGTGCAGGGCCCCGCCGTACCCAAAAAAAAAAACCCCCCGTACGCAAACCAGCCCCCCCATCTCCTGCAGCAGGACGGGGATCCTGACGGGCGAAGCTGCAGCGCCTGCACCGCTCTGCCTGAATCCTCATCAGTTTTTCCTGATAGCCGCTGCGCCTGTGCTTACACAGCAGCAGACTGAAGTAATTCTTGTACAAATAATACTTTTTTTTCTTTTGTCTTTTTTTCCCCCCTCCCCTTATTTTACCTGATTTCCTCCCATGCCGTGGCAGTTGAAAATGCCCACTTTTTCATTTTCCTTGCGGCCCATGTTGTCTAAACACTGGTTGGTTTCAACGTTCCTGATCTGAAGAAAGAAGAAGATGAAATGTTCCTTGAAAAAAATGCCTGTAAATGCCATATTTGTGCAGAAAAAAGTACATCGCTGTTGGAGAAAGTACATTATCTGTGCATTCAACTATATGACTATATTTTAACTTGCAATTCGTAAATATGTCACACCTCCAGAAGAAAATGAAAATAATTACAAAGAGTAGAATGAGATTTTAAATTACATATTAAGTGTAAGTATGAACAGCGTTCCAGGAAAATCTCATTCAATGCCTTGCGTTGTTTTGTTTCACAAATATAATACGCTTTTACTTCTAAACAATGCAAAACTAATGGCTTGCCCAAGACACACACTTTTACTTTCTTCCAGCAGGGCTGACTCTGCCCCAGGAGAGAAAGGCTGAGCACGAACAGCGTCTGACGTCTGACGCTTTCCGAGCAGGGACTGCTGGGCAGCTTTGTGACTAATTACATGCTTTTAAAAAGTTTTTCAATAGAACTTTCCCCTCAGAACCTATCCGCCCTCAGAGAAGAACAAGGACACTTAGTGAACATCTCTGCTGAAACAAGCCATTTCCACATCACCTGAGTGCAATGCAGCTGGGAAGAAGGCAGGGTGACAAGCACGGCGCCCGCGATACAATACACGACACAACGCGTTCCTTCCAGCGATGCTCAGCGCGTGCAATTCCAACAAAAGACCATCAGAGCAAGCGGCAAGGAGGAGCAGCGGGTTAAGTACCAGAGCATCGCTCCCCACAACGTATTTTTAGAATACACATTTATCCAACAAAACGGCTGAGCATAAAGACAACCGACCAATTTCAGTGTCGTACGAGAGGCGAAGCAGGAGACGCTGCAGTTCCCCCTGAAGCTCTCCCATGCTGCAGTCTCCACGATGGTGTGTGCATTCAGCCTGTACAAACCCCAGTACGTGCATGCAACACTTTTTTTCCTAAACCTCCTCGTATTTCTGTTAGCACGGTTGTACAAACCCAGCTCCCCCTCCTCCTCCTCGCTCTCAACAGCATGGGGGGATTCTCTTACCAACATGCGCAAAGCAAAAACGCACCGCCGGCTCTCGTGCCTTCGGTAGGACCTGTGAAACTCTCTATTTTGAAATACTTTGGTGGCATTTAGCACAACTCTTAGCCGTCACCTTCAGAGGCTCAAGAGGCACGGTCGTCATCAGGAAACCAGCACCACCAGAGCGGGCTTCACTCAGCATCCCAAGGTAAAGGAGATTGTGCAAGCTGATTAACGGCGCTGGGGAAGAGTGGCTGAGCAAAGCTCAGGCGGTCGCTTCTTAATCTGCTCTAGCGTTGTTAATCACGCAGAAAGAAATGGCACCACTTTGCGTTGCTCCCAGAGGCTCCTGCTCTTAATTGCTTAATCCTCCAAGAGCTGCCGAAGCCAGGAGAAAGGCTGCCCGCTCCCACAGCACAGCCACTGACCTGGGGTTCGGACCTCAGGGGCCCGTCAATAACCAGACCACTGTTATCCACCACTTTCCATCTGCGTTTAAATCAAACGGCCTTTCTTTAGACCCCAGTGAAGGTAAATGGCTTGACGTGGCTACATGTACGTGGCTTTCTGTGGTGGCCTGGGACCAGCCGCAGCACGGCCGGCAGCAGGGGGGACGAGCCCCCTCCTCCCTTTCCTGCTTCCCCCTTCTCCGGCACGGGCCGCTCCGCAGACCACCAAAGCTACTGCAGTCCCAAAACCGTATCCCAGTGATTAGCTCAAATGATAACCTCAGCCTTTTTTCTTAAATCACCTTTTTGTAGAAATAGAGTTTCAAGTATTTCCACAAAAATGGTGATTTATTTTTTTTTTGCAAACCCTTGATTCATTAAAATAGAGGACTAAAATGAAAAGTGACTTTAAAACTCACCTTTGAATATTATGTCTCGGGTTTACAAAATAATTCTTGTCTCGCATTTACTTTGTGTTCACTTTCAATGTTACAGGATTAAAATGTAAAAAAGAACGTTCAAGTAATCACCACATTTTGCACATTCTATGCCCATTCTGAGGCAGATTTTCATCCATGCAGGAAACTCAAATCTCATACAGTCACTGTATATAAGTTGTGTTCTAACGGAATGGAAAATCTAGTTGCAAATCAAGGTTTGGCAATCTTCAGGATCTGCCTGTTAACTGAACAATGAATGCACTTCATAAACTACTTCAGTTCTGTACAACTTCACACTTTAGAAATTTCATTAGCAAACTGTGCACTTCATTTATAAAAGCAACAGATACATATCAATTAGTTGTGCAACAGCCAAATAAAATCCAAATTGAAATGTAATATAATACTGATTATTATTTGTAACATGCTGGGCGGTGCAAGTGAACCACGCATCAACATTGCCCGATTTCAAGTCACGCCTGCACTATCGTGCAGGAGGTAAATTAAGGATGATTATCCCAAATCTGTCAAAAGGATTCACTCTTTTTATCACTGTTTATACTACAAAAGAACAAAATATGCACTCACACAACATAACTTGAGGCCCACTGCTGAACACTCATTACATTTAGATTGCACTGTACTAGAGAATGATTTTCTCGGATTTATTACCAAACGCGATTCCTAGCAGCCGGCAAACCCACGGCTCCCACCGGCGTGCTGCTCAGCACCATTTTCTCTTGGTTGTGAGCAGAGCTGAAGCACGGGCACCTCCCGACCGGGCCACCTCAAGGTACCGAGCATCTCGCAGAGCAGCTGGGCACATTACGGACCATTTGTGGACTAACGATGCCTGCTCCACCCGCAAGTCAGATGGTTTGTCCTACCTGAGACCAAAATCTCTGCTGAAAGAGAGGAAAATGACTGACAAATACGCTTCTGATGTTTTAAAAATTGTCCATTACTGCTGATGACGGTACCTGAGCTTTAGGTCTAAAACGCCACTTTACTGCTCAACTGGCGGTCGGCAGCTGTAATAGTCAGGTATGAGTTTTAATTCATAGAGCCTGCCTGAACCACAGTTTCCATAGAAACTGAGGCCGTGTTGGTAAAAATAAGGTGTTTTAATAACTATTTTATTACTTTCTCATACTTTTATTTTCCAGTCTGACAATACCATACAAAACCTTATTATTTGACACTTGTTAGATGAGTTCTTTCCTTGCTGTAAAACCATGTTTCATTTTATTTTGTCACAGTTAAACTGGAAATCCTACTGTGGCTTTTATTTTTCACTACAATTGCAAGTTTCAACAGTAACTTACTTTGCTGGATGTAAGAAACCCATTTGCTCGTTTCATTGCTCTTCTATCGGTAGCTATCTTTAAATCAAACCATACAAGAGCTTTTAAAAGTCAGTGTAGGTACAACTCAATAGAATATTTTTAACAGTGAATTATCTGAATTTTAAAGAGATGTCACTTCTTGGTGGCACTAGAACCATCAGGTCATTAGGAATGCCTGTGATACTCGGTTCCAGGCAGCCTTGCAGCAAAACGCAGCATCAACGAACACACACATTTCTTTAAAAGAAAAAAAGAAAAAAAAAAGCTTTTTCTATTCTACTTGTAAGTGATATGTGATGATGGAAAGTTGCCTTCAACTGCTGCGTATTACTTAATTATTTCAAAATACTAGTCACAAACCTCACTTCTCCAATACTCTAACAGATAAATTTTTAGTGGTGAAGATACACATTCAGAATAGCAGTGCCCCCTTATGAAAGATTTAGAGAAAATATAACCTGCTCAAAGGGAAAGATAAGAAAGATACAGGGACTGCACACAAACGCTTTGCTCCTTTCTCCAAAACCACTTCATCTTATTAGCAATTCCTGCATTCGCACAGCATACTTATTGTTTTAATTTAGCCAAAGGAGATGTTTCGTACCTCACCAAGCGAGTAATAGCGCCGGGGAATCTGGGAGTCGGGATAGATGTTTTCCAAGTACCATGAGAAGGGTTTACACTTCAGATTTTCTCTTAGTGCTTTTCTGACGGATACATCGCCGTAATCCACCTTAACAACACCTGGAATTGTTAAGAGAATAGATGATCAAAGCAGAGTTTTTGTAAAGCTGCAAAGTATAGATCAGAGATCCTTCTCCAGTTGTCACGATTTCCTTTTTATCAATAGCCATTTGCGGGAATTACGGTACAGCAGTATGTGAATTCCTGGGCAGCTACTACACCATAGATCTTTACAAGCATTAAATAATTAATTTAGCAAATTGAAATGCTTGGAAAATTACATTTTTTATTCTCAGATAATTTATCGATCCGGAAAGGCAGTTCCACTGAACTCCTTGATTTCTTCATGTTCCAAAATGATAAAGAAATGAGTTTACATTTATACAAACCATTTTTTCCAAAGCATCTTGTTGGTGTTTTCCAGTACTTTTCTGAGAGAAGTAACTTGGATGAGCATGGTTATTTTACTGATGTGATCTAGAGGTGATTTCACCAGAAAGGACACGTTCTTCTTCATCCTGAGGAACCCCATTGCTCCCTCTCTCCCACGCCCCACAAGGTCCTGCAGACCTCGGGCTCAGCCCGCAACACAACTCACATCCTCGTTAACACTATTATAAAATCACACGTCTGCTGTCGTAAAGCAGGGAAGGGGGAACAAGGTGGCAGGGGTCTGCAGAGAGACCAGCTGGTGGACAGGACCTATCTCCTGCACCGGATCCACCATCCCTACGGCAGGCAGGGCACTGATGGCACGGTTCTCCTGAAGGGAGAAGATGTCACATCACGTCGCAGTCCAATTGGCACCGTGTCTGGTGGCACCGTTCCGCCTGCAAGCCTATACACGCGACCCGAGCCAGCAGCATCCCGCTGGCCGTCAGGAGTGGTGCGTGGGCCACAAATCAGAAATACAGGTCATGAAGAGGAAAAAAAAAAAAAAAAAAATCAAGCAGAGGGGAAATCAGTTAGAAATCCCTTCTGTTCAATGTATTCTTATTTAAATTGAAAGACTATATGGTGCTTTCAAGACTTGCTATAGCTAGTCAAGCAATTTATTTATCTGTTGGTGCTAGAAGTACGCATCCAGGAAAGAAGAAACAGAAGTGGGAGGACACCGACACGGCAGCACGTCGCAGACACAGGAGACCAAATGAGGGATCAGCAATGATGGCTGTGCATCGGCCACGAGCACCCATCATACAGCTCACGACCCGAGCACATCAGCACCGCTGACAGAGTACGTCCAAGCTAGAGGTGACTTCAAATCTACTTCGTAAGTGCAGGAATAAGGAACTTGCAAGTCTTAAAAGTACTCTTGAAGCCTCTGAGATGCAGCATTCGCTCTCCGACCGATCCACCACCACTTCACCACCGACAAAGGGCAGCAGAGGTGAGTGCTGCTGGGAATCCCACCACGGCACACCCACCTCCCGTGGCTGTCCCGAGTGAGCTCCACGCTTTGCCTTCCCCATCATTTCTCAGGAAGAAATCCCTCGCGTGGAGAAGAAACATCAGACTTAGATGAAGCCTTCTTTTCTTTGGCACTAAAATTCTATTCAACTTCTTAACTTTCTATACAAAGAAAGTATAACAGGAAAACACCATTTCCATTTCCCACCCTCCTATCAAGCCGACTTTTGCAGGTGTGCATATGACTTTCAGAGTTTAAACTAATATCGAACCAGTAACCTGTAATATCCTTTTCAATACCGACATCCTCCAGGGAGGGGACAGCTCGGGAAGGAACCGTGCCTCACAAACACACACACAGGTCAGCCTTAAGGTGCTTGGTCAACCTGAGTTGCTAAGCAAGATAAGCAAAAAAACCAAAAAGCATGTCAAATGTTCTCTGTAGCCAAATTTAATCTAATTTTAGAGGAAAGCTATCGTCCGAAGAAACAGCAGTAGGTAAAGCAGTAGTAACTGCCAGCACTCAGTTGAATCAGTTTGACAGACACTCCCAGATTTACATCTGAAAGCCACGCTGCATTTCCATCATCTTCTGCTTTCCATTATTTATGGGATCTTATTTTGAAATTATCATAGAGGTGAAGTTCCAACGATATCAGCATATTCTGCTAGGAAATCATGCCCTAAAGCACAGGATGGTATTAATTTTAGAAGAAATTCAGTACACAACAGTAAAATTATTCACTACTATTAACAAAAATGTAACTTACTTTGGATAACCACTCTTATCCATATTTCCAAATATTTACTTGTTACGTCTTTAACAAATTAGGTTTACGTATCATTACGTAATTGTAGGATCTGATGTAATTCTAGATAATTAACTAAAAATACAGGATATGCTACAAATTATTGCTACAGGCTAAAATCAAGGCAAGTGCTCCTGGGAAGCACTTTACCCTGATCACAATGGCTGGGGGCGACTGATGCTTCATCAGCTCCGGATCAGCAAAAACTCCTCAGAAACCAAATGTTCTCGGTTGGCACCAAGAAATTAAGCGGCACTTAACTCAGGCATTAGGAAAGCGTGAAATTTTAAACTTCATGAAACAGAAGTATTCAAAATAAAACCTTCAACCATAACCCATATAGAGAAATTAAACCATAATGATTTAGGAGATGGTGGAAAAGTGAAGAGAAATCACATCCAGGTTAAATCCAGGTGATGAACAGGATCTGCAGGGTCTACGGTGGTCTGGGAAAAGACAAGATCAGGGCACAGGGGCCGTACAGGACAGATGTGGTGGACAGGAGGCTTCATCTGCTCTGCAACTCTCAAAACATCTGAGCTACACTATGTTCAGTAGGGTATTTGGGGAGGTTTTATAAAATTCCTAAAGGACTCAAAGATTTTTTTATTTTTTTTTTTCTGACAGACAGAGGTAATTTATCAGCTGTTCTGCAATCAAGGAGATCGATCACAGAGTTTCATTTTACTTTCTTTAGGGGAAGAAAAGCATCAAAAGGTCAGTATTACAGTTGTTCTTTAATATTTTACTTTTCCACATGGTGATTTTTCTCCAGGTACAACTCCTGCAGTCACTAATATAATTTACACTACCTACAACACCTAGGTGCCTAACCCCTGTGCTTCCATTAAGTAGCATTTCGTTGGCCGTTTCGTTGCTTTGTCTGTCTATATTCCCCACAAAAGGACCAAAAGGACAGACGCCGACGAGCACAACCCCTGGGCCCGGACGGGCACGAACAGCGCTGTGAATCCAGTCTTGCTGCCCAGCATTTGTCATTTGTACGTACCAGCGGCGGAAGACCAAGAGCACTCGCCTGACTTCAAAACCTATCAGCGCAACGTGTGCTATGCAGGACTGAGCTGAAAACATCTTAAAACATAAAAAATTATGTTTTCTGAGCAAGCGTTTATGTGCAAGGGGGAGTGGGGGTCTGTGATTGCTGCCTCTTTCAGAGGAAGAGATGTGCACTACTGCTATTATTTGTGCTACTCAATCCTTATCTAGAGTTACGCTAATCTTCCCCATGGGAAGGTACTAAAGTGTTAGGAGAAAAGCAATATCTGTCTTTTCTAATGCTTTGTACTGTGAGGATCTGATGAAGCTGAACATGAGGAAAAAGGATATTAACACGGTTATAGTCTGAGATCGCAAGCAACACGGCCTTCCCCCGCTGCACGCACACACTTTGATTTACAAACCAAACCAGAAATACTGTCTATCAATGAAAACACCCCGCGGATTCACCGAACACCTTGTTTCTATTCTGCGTTACAATTCTTACAAGGATTTCCATTCCCCCATTTGGTTCAGCCCTGCAATTGCTAGAATAAAAAAAGCAATAAACCATTTCCCACTCAATCTGACTCAACTTCGTGCTTGAGTTTTCTGTAATTAAACAAACTACAGAAAAATAAATCCTAGTTTTACATTTTAATAAAACTTAGCAGTAGAGATGGGGAGTCTTTGGTGGGTTTGGGATGCTCACCTCACTGGGGTAGGTTCATCTTAGTCTTCAAGCAAGGACCTCATTTGTATGGATCGCCAGTAAACCTTTATATTCCCTTTTGCTCAATTTAAAACCAAGCTATTATGAATCAATACCTATTTATTGTCACTACTTGCTAAATAATTGATGGGACTCAGAGGAAATATAAAACTAATTAATGACTAATATGTCTGCTTACATTTCAATACGAAAACATAAGTAAAACATCCTTGAGCGCAAAAAAGAAATGAAACATCACAAGCAGCTACAGAAAGTGTAGCGTGCAAAAGAATGGATTAAAAATATCTCAGGAAAGCAGCAGATTGCTTTAACAAAGCATCAGATGTGTTCCAAGTAGAACAAATTAAATGGCTGCAGCATCGCATTACACCTGCACTTTTTCTAACGGGCGTATCCTGCAAACCGGCATACAAGGGCATAGTTTCAAAAGTGGCGAAATGCACCATTTCTGCAGGACAAGATATTAATTCACGATTATAAAGGTGAAAAAAAATCATCTGGAATGAAATAGAAGTTGGGGAACTGAGAATATTTTTCTTTATGTAAGAATAACACTTTGAAAACTTAATCCAAATTAGGCTTTTCCTATCTTTTGCTGCCTTGAAAAGCCTAGGAGAAAACCATTGTTTCATCGAACTGCTATTCCGGTGTAATCAAAGGGAGAGCAGGGAGACCAGAGAAGGCCGTCTATGCACATCTGCCTTCAGTTCAGCTTTGAAAACCTCCATCGCGTTGCACGGCAGCCAGCTCCTCATCCGAGGTGCACCCTTTACATGGGAAAGCCAAGAGCCAAGTTGGAAGCGGCCGGGAACCTCCAGAGATGGAGATGGTTTAGTTTGATTTTTGCTTTTCTTACTACCAAAGGAGGATTCAAAATTGTGCCATGTTTCACAGGATTAAAGATGACAAAGTGCTAAATTAAAAATGAGTTTGCAACATCAGGATGCCTGGTACGGCGCACATTACTGAGAAGAAACAAGAACATTCACCAGTAATTTTGGAAAAACGCTAATTGCCATATTAATATGATTCAACTGGTGCCTGGGAGGACGCTTCTCTCCAGGATGCTCTGCTGCCTTTTCCTTCAAGGAGACGGAGGGTTAATGCTTGGG